AATACAAAATAAAGTACGTGGCTTAGGAACGTAAAAAGCACGGACATAGGATGGAAGAATCCAACCTATAGCAGAAAATGTAAATAAAAGAAAAATTACGGAAAGGTTGGGAGGATAAATAGAAAAACAACATAGCAGCTTCAATCCTTAGATGCATTTCATATTAGAACGCATAAAATCATGTATGGCTGTTAAACTGCCTGTAAATTCAAAAAGCTACCAAAAATCCGAATCCTTGTTATACACATCATTGCTTTTACTGTTTCATTGTTGATAGTTTAAACATTTTTACTAAGAGCGAACGTAAGAAAGCACAATCAGAGATTGTTTAGACTAAGGAGAGTCTAGGGGACAGCTATTTTGGTATCTGAGTTAACTATTTTGATACGATAGAGCTGCATATAACTCTGTATCTGAATGTAACCCCGATCACATACATCCTCACTTTGTTTATACATGATTCTACTAAACAAAATGTGATAATTGTTCATTGTAAGCGCTCTAAGATTTCGCTGTAAGGTTTATTAAACTCATACAACGAGAAGTCACATGTATAATGCAAGAATATTGCCACACAGGATAACATTGACTGAGAGTATTTAGTGTCCGTAGATACAAAAGAATTGACGTGCAAGCATCTGGAATATATATTGTATTCACTCCGGTTCCAGTAAGAGGAAACCGCTCGAAAGTCGAAGCTTGTGTTTGTAATCTATCTAATGTATAACAAAAGTTTGTATCACTCATCAGTCACCTCAGACTGAAAAACGTATTCACTATAAGTTATATTCGATATAAAGTAAAGTATTAGATTATCACCAGAATTATTATATAAGAATTATGAATAAATTAACAAGATCTTGCTAGATCGATCCCTGCCTCGCTGTCAGTTTTGGATATGCTGCTAGTGTAGGTAAGTATTGCGCTGAAATAGGTGGCAAACAATCATACTGTTTGAATGTTTTATTTACTACACCTCATATACACGTGAGAAAGAATAAAAAGGAAAAGGATTTTTCACTTGTTTCAATCATTATTGAGATAGATGGAAAAAAAATTCTTTTGTTTTTATCAAAATAGTAAACTGTTTTTAATCGGTATCGAATATAACTTATAGTGAATACGTTTTTCAGTCTGAAGTGACTGATGAGTGATACAAACTTTTGTTATACATTAGATAGATTACAAACACAAGCTTCGACTTTCGAGCGGTTTCCTCTTACTACTCATTTAGAGATCTTTTATAGTTAACAATGATACGAGACTCAAACACAGTGGGTCTTTTTTCCAATTAAAGCATGACTATTTGATTGTAGTTTTAATGGCAACTGCCTCAAAAGTTCAATGTACAAAATGTGCGAAAAATAGCGCTATAACCGCGTGTGAAGGTTGTTCATCAAAACTGTGCAGACGGTGCTTCACTGATTATCGTCAAGATTTGTCGAAAGAACTCGACAATGTTGTTTACGAACATGATATGCTCAAAGAGCAGCTCGAAACGCCAAATGAAAATAATTCTCATCGTCTGTTAAAACAAATTGATCAATGGAAGAAAGACGCAATCGATAAAGTTAATCAGCTTGCTGATCAATGTCGGACTGACGTTGTCAAATTGCTAGATAAAAATAAGAACAAGCTTATTGATAGATTTCGCAAAATGACGAGTAGAGTTCGTAAAGGTCGAGATGATGAAGATTATGATGAGCGAGACCTCAGCAAGTGAATAGCCGCTTTAAAAGAACTAAAAGATGAACTTATCAAACCATCAAACTTCTGCGTTGAAGAGGAAAAACAACAACCTTCTTGGATTCAAAAGATCAGAGTACGCGAAAATGTCCCGGAACAAGCAAAGATGAAAGATGATGGTAAGTGGTGATTATGCGCAGTTCAACTTTATCAATAGACAGATTTAATAGCATCTTCGACGAGGACCATATCAAGAATGATGATTCTTGTAGGTAGTTGGCCCAGCTTCTTATGAAATCGTCCTCTCTAAACAAATCTTGGCTTGTTGCACGACCTGTCAGGCGACACTCATGTGAGACTATCTTTTGTTTAGAGAAAGTGTAAAACACCACGTATAAGTGTTATATACTTCATTAGTTGAGAACTTTATTTGGAAACTTTCAAACACTTTACTGTGTTCATCGTCAGGCAAAAAAAAAAGTGAAAATTCTATACAATTTTTACAATTCTATGCAAATTATAGAAATTGATAATTAAGGGAAGATTTAACCAACAAAATGCTAAAGAAAGGTCAATATAGAGAAGATACATTTGATTTACTTATGCCGCTGATCTACTGTTCACAGATATCACTTAAAAACAAGAAGTTCATAACTTATATCGTCCACTAATATTATAATAATAAAATTGCGATAAGATCAGTTTCTTTCGCATATGTGCTGGTAGCATGAACATGAATGCTCGTGAGTATTTTTTGAATAACTTTTGATAGCAACAAGATAGAGAACTGCGGTTTTCACCGTTCGAAAGAAGAAATGAAGACGCATCGAACCATATATTACTGATTTTTCTAATCTGGTTATTTAGAAAAATAGAGCGAAAGACGCTCTATCTGTTCATAGAAAAAGAAATTTTTTTGAATGACGATGAACACAGTAAAGTGTTTGAA